GGAGGCCAGGGGACTTACCTGAGGACTTACCTGAGGACTTACCGGAGGACTTACCTAAGGAATTACTACTTGGACTATGTTACATGGGTCGTGGAACCCTGGGAATTATGGAACCGGGCCTAGGACTTAGGGCCGAAATGTGTGAAACCCTTTCATTGGGCCCGATGAGACTGGTTTGTCATATCCTAGAGGAGAAAAGTTTTCTTCTGTCAGTACACACTAGAGAAAGACCTTCCACGATTCAGACCCCAAATTCGGATTTCAGGGTCAAGGTCTTAGGCCAAGACGGTCAGTTTCAGAGAAGTCACAGTAGGGTAGAGGAGGGAAAAGGGAAGAGGAGGGGAAAGGAGAGAAAAGGGAGGAAAAAGAAGGGAAAGGAGAGAGGAGAGAAGAGGAGAATAAGAGGAGAAGAGGAGTCGCGTCCAACAGGCACCCAGTAAGCAGTCACATGCCAGAGGTAAAGGTTGCATTCTTTAAGCAAAAGTCACGTCTCATAATGAAAAGTCATATTGAAAAGTCACCTCCCACGGGCAAAGGACACTTCCCCAGGCAAAAGTCATATCCCAGAGGGAGGAGTCACAACCCACAGTCAAAAGTCAAGTTCCACAAGTGAAAAGTCGTGACTCACAGGCCCAAGCAGCAGCACACCAATGAAAATTCGGGAAAAATACCAGGCCCTGACATTCTGAAGCAAACACGCCGTGGGGATGTGGTACCAGTGCCAAGTCAAGCCACAGGCTGGGACGAGTTGAAGCTCAGTCCAAGACAATATAAGGACTGGCGAGCCTTCTCATTGGGGCAGATTGCTCATTTGCATGAAGTGTGGAAGTGCTGGTGCACTTGTGCGCTATTGGGAGGAGCAAAGCGCTGAGCCAGGGAGCTGCTCTGTGAGGGAGAGAGAGAGGGAGCAGCCATAGCTGCCGCAGTGCTGGCAGAGGGAAGGCAGCCATAGCTGCGCCAGTGCTTAGTAGTAGACCTCAGAGGGGTTAGTAGAGTCAGCAGTGGGTGTGTTCAGAGTTGGTCCTTGAGTAGTAGAGAGTGTGAGTGCATGCAAGTAGAGCAGTGGGAAACACTCTTACCTGAGAGTATATATTGGTTACTTGGATCTGCGCTGTTGAGCGCTTGTGACTGAAACTCTTAATTGCTCATATGATAATTTGTTGGAATTCTAAAGCTGCGCTTACCTAGTCTTCGTCTACCTGGCCTCCAGTGTGAACTTCGTGAGATCTCATTTGTGCATGGTGTGTGATTGTGTGCCCTCATTGGTGTTGAACTGAGAGGCTCATAGCACTAGTGAACTGAGAGGCTCATAGCACTAGTGAACTGAGAAGTTTTAAGTGGACTGATTTCCAGGCTTGTTTATTAAGGGCAGTAGCACTGAGACCTGGGTGCTCCGGTCTCTTGAAAAAAGAAAAAACAAGGAAAAAAAAGAAAGAAAAAAAGAAAGGAAAACAAAAAGGGGCAGTAGCACTGATAGGGGAAGGGGGTTGCCCACAAAGAATGGGATTAACTGACAGTCGAATTGAGTCAATCGTTCCAAGGGAAGCAATCAGTGCTGTCAGGAGTCATCGGGCTGTAACATGGGGAAGCATTTGAGCGTGAGTTTATCGAGTATATTCTTCTGACTTGCCCGTGGGGTAGGAACTGGACTGATGCACCTCAGAATGGATACGGAGCCAGGCATGTAAGGACCCGTATTTTTGGTTGTTAAAAAAAAAAAAGGAAGAGAATTTTCATACTTCTCTGTTGCAAATCTATTGCAGAGACTGGACAAAGCTGGAGTGGAGTTCAACCAATCCACAGGCAAGATACGGGCTGTACATGAACAGGTGAGCTCCAGGCTTCTCTTTGATTGTGTGTCGCTTTCCCTCCGTCTTCCTGCCATTCCCCTTCATCTCCCTTGCTTTTTTCCTCCCTTCTCCCCAATCCTTTTTTTTTCTTTTTTTGCCTTCATTCCACTGCTTTCACTCTGCCTTCATTTGCCCTTCTGTTTGCCTCCTAAACATCATCTGGCCCAATCGTTTCTCGCCCCCCTACTTTCCCCTCTCTTCCATTACCTCTCCCTTGAATTGGTAATTTGGTATCCGTTCCACGTTCCTCAGTTTCCTGTCCATTCTATCTAATGCAGTGAACCGCACAGAATCAGTCTGAGTTTTCTGCGGTTTTCTGAGTATTGCTGTTTGCTTGAATTGCTGAGATTTCCGTGTTTTGAGTGTGCTTGCTATTTTGCCTGTGTCTAAGTCTCTGTGTGACGATTCCCCTGCCGTGAACTATATCTGTTCTCGTGCTGTATGCCGTGAACTCAATCGGTTGCTGTACTGTGTTTTCTGTGTCCTGGGAGCAGTAGACCAGAAACAGCTAGAACGACAGGGATAGGACTGAAATTGGACACCCGATGGACTTCTTCCGAAGTCCACGACGGATAAGGACAGAATTTTACAAGTACCCGCAGGGATTTTCCAGCAACTTGGGTAGGCCCAAGTGAGCCCAGTAGGGTTAGAAAGGTTCAGCAGCTTCCCAAAGAGGGCATGATGGATCAGGACCCCCATGGCTTTTTTTTTTTTTTTTTTTTTTAAAAAAAAAAAAAAAAAAAAAAACAGAACCTTAGGGTTCTGGCTCCTTTTCCATTCTGGGGAGCATCAGTCCGGTTCCTATTCCACCGGCAAGTCAGAAAATAATACAATAAGGCTGAATAAGCACTCACACACGCTCCTCCCTCTTATGGTGTGGAGGCCCGAAGGACGGCATTGATTACTTCCAGAAGGAAGGATGTACCACCCTTCACCCCTGCCTGAGTTAGCCTGCTCTATTTAACTGCTACTCTTGAGAGCTAGTCTGATTGCCTTGTGTTTCTGGTACTTTGTAGCTTACCTCCCTGGGTCTTTACCTGCCTGTTCCTCTCAGCTCCTTGACTTTCAGATTTACTTTTTAACTTGTTGGAGCTGCCGGTTAGGCATCTCTCCATGGTCCTGCTAAAACCCTGAACCCTGTCCGACTTCATTGCTAGCCACTCTGTTAGAGCCCTAACCCCTAGCTAAATTTCCTTTTCACTTTTTGGGGTAATTACTGGTACTCCCGCTAGAACTTTGTTGTTTGAACTCTATCGACCTTGGGTCTAAATATGGGCTTAAACCCTGAACCCTACTGATCCTTTTTCTTCGGCCGTATCTCTATTGGGTGGTCTACGATGCTTGAACTAGGCTAGACAGCCTCTCTCTGGTGGCTTTACTAGAACCCTTTACCCTGTCTGGATGATTTGCGCTACTTGTCTGTGGTCCTTGGCCCTGCCTACTTGTAGCGCTGTGTCTTGATTAGTATTCTAGCCTGTGTCCTTGTGATGTGCTCGGCCCAACTTTTGCCTTAGCTATGGGGAATCCATGTGGATGTGTGAGGATTCGGGGATGCTAATGAGTGACGGTAGGTCTGCTTGAGGTGCCTTTAAGGTTCCATCCCATAGTGTGAATACCAGGCCATGGCCTTTGAACGTATCAATCTTCTCTCTTGGGCTGTATACTCTTCCTTTCTCCTCGAAGACTGCTCTTACTGCTGTTTCCTCTGGGCTACCCTGTTATGCTGTCCCACTTGCGTTTTCTTTCCTGTCTCGTGCCTCCATTCTTGAGGTCGGATCATTAGGGGAGGTTTGTTTTGGTAGGCGCCCGGCGTTGTGTCCTATCTCGTTTCCTGTCCTAAGGCCATGTTCGTTTATTCTAGGCTCTTCCTTTATCAGGCTGGGTCCATTGTGCTACCTCAATTCTGTCCTATCCCTGGGCGGTCTGAATCCCACCAGTCCATGAAGTGAAGGGCTTTTCCGGTTATTTTTGCCAGTAGTCCCCCCTTCAGCCACTTTTCTTCAAATTCCTTTCGTATTTTAGTCTTTCTTTGTTCCTCTATTTCCCCGTCTATCTTCTCTAGGGCTCGTTTCCATTCCACTCTGATTCCTGTTTCTACCATTTCCCGTGCTTCTTCCCACGATTCATTTGTTTGTTATCTTCTTTTTACCTATTGTGCCCCCACATCGTGCTCTCCAGATTACCCACAGGGTCGTTCTTCGCAGAAGCTCTGTCTTTCTCCTCTTCTTCTGGCTTCCCTTCTTGATTCCTTGCTTAGTTCTTAACTTACGTGTTTTAGGGCTTTTCCGAAGTTTGGGTGTATGTTTTCCTCTTGCATCTGCAGGGAGCATTCTTCCCATGATTGCATGACCACTTTTCTAAAACTTCCCAATTTTAGTAAAGAGTTGTTGATCTTGAAGAAACTTCGACCTGATTCATTGTCTACACCAAAATTCAGTATCAAGCCTATCAGTTTGTGGTCAAAGCCTCCATAAAAAGGAGATCTGAATACAGTGGTAGCTAGTACAGCTCCCGACACTGATTCTGAGATCAAAAAGTAATCAATTTTGGAAAAGGATGTTCTTCCCTGTTGAGTTTTCCTAATGCAAGTGAATCTCTTGGCTTCCGAGTGTCTTGTCCTGAAGGGATCTATTGGCTTCTTCTCTGTAATAAGGTCTATCATTGTATGGGTCTCTAATTCGTCGTACGGTTCTCTAGCGTGGGAAATCCTATCGAGAAGCGGTTCCACTGTAGCGTTCCAGTCCCCTACCGCTATGATATGTCGGTGATTCGGGCATTCTTGTTGCTTGATTATTTCTATTAGTTATTTTCTTTGGGCGTTTGTTTTTGGAGCGTATATATTTAGTAGTGTTATTTCCTCCTGCATATAGCTGAAATCCATCCTTATCCATCTGCCTCCTATGAGGTCCTTGGTCACTTGGTTTACTTGTAGGTGGTGTAATGCTTTGGATTTCCATTAAGGAGGATCCATCAGCCAGGTCAGCGCTACGGTGAGCGCACGTGGGCGGGGCGTTCGAAGCTTGCCGCGCGCCGCGTCAGGGAGGAGGAGCCCGGCGGGGTGACGCGCACGACAGGAGCCCACGCAGCGGGCCGTTTGCGCCATGATGGGAAGCGGGTCTACGAGTCATGGTGATGATTGCCATGCCAGGCGCATGGAATCAGATGCACTGCCTTCATTGGTGTTAACATTGAAGGAGGGGCCAGAAGGTACATGGGCGGGGAAAGCAGATTTACTCCGGCGATGAACACGACTGGGATGGCGTTTCAGCGGGGTCAGACAAAGGGAGAGAGGCGCAGACCTACGGTGGAAGAGACACGGAAGAATACGAGCAGGGCCAGAAGAGGGCCTTCTTCATCGGTTTCATCGCTTTCATTAGCATTAGCAGCAGCAGCATTATCATCATTATCATCATCATCATCATCATCATCATCATCATCATCATCATCATCATCATCTTCATCATCAACGTGAGTAGTCAGCATCGTTGTCATCATCATCATCTCCATGATCAACATCAAGGTAAGTAGGTATAGGAGGATGGTGTTGGATTGTCATTGTCATCTTCATCATTGTCGTCGCCGTCGTCATCATCAAAATCATCATCATCCTTTTCATGCTTTTTAACATCATTTTGACCTCTAGTATTATTATCTCATTATCATTTCATTAGCATCTCATTACGAACCTAAATAATTTACTCGAACTAACATCTTATTTAAAGTCTCATACATTCTTCATCTCACCTAGCTTTAAAACTTTAAATTATTCGTTTAGCTAACATAAATGGTATCTTTATATACCTAAAACTTCTTGGCATGGTAATTTTTAATACCTAAATTCCTATAATTCCTAAAATTCGCATCGTTGAATTTCTTTCACTTTCCAAGTAATTAGTACTCAAATCATTTTTTTGAATATCATTTGAAATCCCTCGAATTTCTCTAGCGTATTTTCGAAATGCCAGCTGGATCTCTGGTATCTAGTTTCTCCTCTTTGAGAATAGACGTTTGTTCCTGATGGATGGGAGGTGAGGATCAGGGGAGAGCTTCACTCTGCAGGGGCGACACAAGGTGGGAGGTGAAGCCCTGGAGGGGGTGTGAGCAGAAGTACTGGGTTACCTTATTTTGGGGTTGGGTGGGAGTACTCACACCAGCGGGGGCAGATCAGGGTGAAGGGTAGGCAGAGGCATACTTTGGGAGGGAACTGTATGCCTCTCTGAGATAGCGGTGGGGAAGGTGGGACTGTCCCAAGTTGGGGTTGTTATAGCTGCCTCTTGGTAATCCATCTCGGCGGAGGCAGCTTCGGGACAGGGTAGAAAGGAGGGGAGGGGAAGATTAACCGTAGGTGTAACATTATCATCATCCATGTTATATCATGCATCCTGGTTTTCTGAAATGTTGGGCGGCATCTGGCCTACTTCCTCATTCAGGATATAGATTTCAGAGATGATCAAATCAACACCGATATCTGCAGAGTTGCCTTGTTCTGTGCGCCTGGTTCGTCGATGCCAGAACGACGCAGGCCGGAGCTGGGGCGTTGTCCAGTAACCTGCATTGGCAGGGGTATGAGGCCTTGTAGAGAGATTTGGGGTTTTGCTGAGGGAGGAAGGCAATCCAAGTGACGAATTGGGGGGGCTGCCTTGACGACCTATGGGCTAGGAATAGTCTAGGTGGCGAGAACAGGTCAGTTATGGCTGACATTGGTTAGGAGGGCATAGTCTCTGAGATGTAAGGTCTTGGCATAGGGAGGGCTCGGAGGTGCTCTAGGAGTAGGAGGCCAGTGGTGGTGATATAGCATAGTCTTCTAATTTTTTACCATAATCATCATCCGCATAATCATCTTCATCAACATCATCATCATCATTAGTATCATTATCTCATCATTGTTATATTAAGCTTTCTGGTGTTCTGGAATTTTTGGACAGCATCTAGTTTTCTTCCACATCCGGGATATAGGATTTCAGAGATGGTCGAACCCG